GGGGGAAGGAAAGTCCACGTGAGGGCGCGGGTTGGGGTAGCGCGCGAGCTGCGCGAGTCCGTTGCGCTGACGGCGCGTTTCGTTGACTCTGCCGCCGCTCTGTGCTCGACTGCTCTGCTCTGCGTTAGCCTGGGGTTGAGGCGAGCTGCTAGAGTGTCGGCTAGCGTACCATTTCCGCCCTTCTCTTCCGCATTACTCGGTGGTTTCCTCTCCCCCTTCCACCTGCACCTCCGCCTGTACCTCCCTCTAGCCCCTATGCCTCCCCCTTACCCCTTCCGCCTTGCCATCCGTGAGTCCCGAGTCGCCACGCCACGTGGGTAGCTGCGAGCGCGGCAGTCTACCGGACCGCTGCAGCTGGAAGAAGAAAATGCATTTTTCTAGCGCCTCGCTGTAGTTCAGCCGCGCCGCCGCCGCCGCCTCCTCTACCGGCGCCGCCACAGCCGCTGGGTCTGGCGGTTTGGCGGCCCACGAGCGTTGGGGAAAGCTGCTGAAGGGCAGCGCGACGGCGAGCAGGAGGACGGCGAGGAAGCGTCTAATCGCGTGGCTTCCATCGACGCGCAATGCGAACAGGTTACTACAAACGGGAGTTTCTTATCTGCACAACTACGACTGCCTAGCGGAAAGCAATGTAGATATATCTTATGGCTTTTGTTGAGAATCGAACATCCCTCACGTGGCCTGCTCGACAAATGAAAGTGATCCTAGGCCAGCAGCAGTGTCCTTCAATGCACGCTGGCATCCTATTATACAGTACAGTACTCTGCTCTCACATTCACGGCCTCGCTCACTGAACTTGTACCGTAATTCAGATCTCCCAAACTCGAGTGGAACCGCTCGGGTGCTGTGCACGGCGGGTGCTCGTGGCACGTGACTTGCTCACACTCTGCTGCTGAGACAGAAACGCCAGGCGGAGGGGAAGCGGAGCGGAGTGGGGAAGGCAGGTGGCAGGTGGACCTTCCCGGAGTGCGATTCGTTCCCCGCGTGGCGCCCATTTGCGTTTCCACCTGCGCCCAGCTCCTCCACCGAATCGCTGGGCGTCACAGGTGGTTGGGCGGGTGCGCGCCGCCGTAACTCTCCTTGCGTTTAGCGAAATATCTCCAGTTGACGAACTTCCGGCGGCGGAATACTCATCGTTTCGCCAACATTTCAAATCTCAAATAACCTGGAAGAAACATAACTGACCAAATATTCCCCCTATTCACACTCGTTACATAAAGAACAACTACAAATATTCTATATTACATCCAGTGCTGCTTTCAAATGGAAATTCGCAAGTGCAATTCCATAGAAATATTCTATGTGTTGCAAAGTTCCTCTAGGATTAATATCGCTATTATCATTTACGGTAGTTCCTTGGCTACTTATCTATAACATACCGTATTGGTCGTTCTCAATGCTTGTTGCTAAGGAATAGGACCTTGTGCACACAAGGCGCAATATAAAATGCTAAACATATAGGTAATGTTCCAGAACCCTTGTTACATCCCGTCCAGCAACCGCAGGGCCTGTTTGAGGTAGTCTAAAGCAGCGGGGACATCATCAAATGCCAGTGCACTCACAGCAAAGCGCGCAGCGCGTGGGCGTCCCCCACCTTACCCGCTGGTGGGGCCTGCCCCCCCATTCCCATGCCTGTGCCCGAGCCTGCACTTGTGCCTGTGGCTGTGCTTGCAGCAGCTCCTGTGGTGGCTTTGGCAGCGGGCTGCGTTGCAGTAGGCAGGGGGGCTGAGAAGGAGGACGGGGCAGCAGCTGCTGCTCCTGGTGCGCCTGCGCCTGCAGGGCCGAGGGACGATGTTGTTGCTGCTGCCAACGAGTGTGGGTATGCGGTTCATAGCGGTGGATGGGGTCAGGGGAGGTGGGAGGGAGTAAAGAGACCCGAAGGGCGAAATTGTCAGCGCATGCAGAGTGAGAGAGAGGGGGGAAGGAGGGGAAAGGCAGGAAGGGTTAGGAGCAAAGAAGAAAAGGTGCAGTAGACTGGACGGTTTGGCGGGCATCTGGGTGTATGAACCCAACTATGGGGAGAGGGGAAACTCTTGTGAGAGATGTGAGAGCGTGCAGCACAGAAGGGCAGTGAGGCGGCCCAAGAGGGGCAGAGAGCTCACCAGCGCCACCCCCATGGGGTCGCCCCACCCCTAGCCCCTGCTGCGCGCCTCCCTGTGCCCATCCCCCACCAGCACCCCCCTCCCCCTGCTGCTGCCCCACTCCCCCCTGGCGCTGCTCCACTGCGGTCGGCGCGGAGAGGCTGCACTGAGGGCGGCACCGGCAGACCCAGGATGTCGTGCTGCTGCTGCTGGGGGAGGGGGAGGGGGGAGAAGGGGGGAGAGGGGATAGGTGGGTGGGAGAAGGGGATGCGCAGGGGTTGTGGGGGGGGGGGTGGTACCAAGGAGGGCAGGGTGTGATAAGGGTGGTATCGATGAGGGTGATATGTGAAGAGGGGGCGCAATGCGAGTGAACGGAAGGTGCAGTACCATATGCAAGCAGCGCACTGAAGAGACAGGAAGAAAGAAGACGCATCACATGGGAAAGACTCTTCCAACCTGTCCTTTCCCCATCTCCTCACCTCTCCCCCGATGCTGCTGTCCTTGCCGCACTCACCTGGCTTCCCTGTGTCGCATGACCAGCCCCACCAGCACTGTCCGGGGCTGTGGAGGGAGCAGCAGCAGCGGCAGGTGCGGAGAGCAGGGCAGCAGCACCGGCAGCATCGGCAGCAGGCGGGCCAGGCGTGGGTTGGCGGCCCTCTGCCAGTGCCTTGCGGATGTCAGCTGCCTTCCACGCCGCGTACCGCTGCTTCTGCTCCACCTGCCCGCGGAGGGAGGTGCGTGTGGGGGCGGTAGGGAAAAATGGGGGAGTGATGGAGGGGGAAGGAGGAAGGAAGGAGGGGGGATGGGGTGGGTACGAGGGGTTAGGATGGAACGGGGAAGGAGTGAGGAAGACGCCCTTTAGAAAGAGAAATGTGGAGAGAGGAAGGGGAGGAAGGAGGGTCTGAAGAAGAGAACGAAGCCCCAATGAGCAGGTACATGTGTGAGAAGCACTAGCACAGCAATGAACAGGCGGGGCCAGTGAGCAGCATCACAGCAGCGAGCAGTGCGTTAGCAACAAAGAGCGCAGTGCCGGGCATCCTCACGTCAGGAGGCAGCTCGCCGAACTGGCGCATGACGTCGAAGAACAGCCCCGCCGCATAGAACGTCTTGGCCGTGGAGCTGCCGGGTGACAGGGCAACAGGGGGTGGGGGGGGAGGGGTGAGAGCGGAAGGATGGGGCGGGAGAAGAGAGGTTAGGGTATGCAGGAAGCATGGTAGAGGGATGCAATGGGAGGTGCACGTCGAAGAATAGCCCCGCCGCGTAGAACGTCTTGGCTGTCGAGCTGCCGGGTGGAGGGGCACCAATGGGCGGGCGGGGTAAGGGGAGAGCAGGGGTGGAAGAGGGGGCGAAAGGAGAAAATGGGAGGCTGGTACGTGGTAGGGGAGATGCAGAGAAAAGCGCACACACGAGTGAGTGATACAGAAGCTTGAAGCGAGTGAGGGTGGGGTGGCGTACATGTCGGCCTGGCCGGCGCGGTCCTGCTTGTCCGCCTTGGCAAAGACGCGCTCTGCAAAGCCCTCCACGTGCAGACTGTCCTCGGGGCTCAGCTGCACCTCCGCCTTGTCCTGCCAGGGGGGAGAGGGGGAAGGGGAGGGGGAGTTTGAGGAGGGGAAATGGGTGGGGAGGAGATGCAAGGGAGAAAATGGGAAGGTGTGAGGGTGAATTTGCAGCAGTGGAGGCTCCGGACTAGGGTATGGTGCGAGGGTGGGGATAGTGGGAAGTGGAGCACTTGTTATATTCCGTGCATGGGAAAACCACAGAACCAAGCAGCCAGGCACAGCCATGACGAATGTGTGCTATGTCCTCTTTGCATGGCAGCGATCGTCATGCGGCATGACACGCACCTTCTCCAGACGGGCGAGCAGCGAGAGCAGCAGGTCGTTGGTCTCCTTGCCCCTCTCCTTGCTCGACACCTTGAGGCCCTTGTCCGTCGCGTACAGCCGACCTGCTCCCCCACCCATGCCCCCGATAGACATGCTCACATACCCATAGCCATGCCCGATCCCCATGCTCCCCATAGACACGCACCACATACCCATGCATCCCATGACCATGCACCCCATAGCCATGCACCCCATAGCCATGCACCCCATAGCCATGCACCCCAAGCCATGAACCCCATAGCCATGCACCCCAAGCCATGCACCCCAAGCCATGCACACCCAATTGTGGAACCAATCAGCATGCGTCTCATCAAATGTCCCTTGACTCGACCTAAATCCTCCCACCAACCCTGTCCGCCACTCACGTACGAACAACAAACCTGTGCTTAAAACAAGTATCGACTCTACCCTTTCCATTTTCTTCTTCTGACTCTTGACATTGGAAACCCGCAAAATGAATTCATTCATTCTCGCCCTAGAAACCGCACGCTGCAACCCCGTTGCGAGTCTAACGACGCCGTTGCACCCCATGCCTCTACCACGGGAGGCGATAGAATCACGCCTGGAATCTGTTGAAAATAAGTTCTCACAGTAGTACGCGACGAGCGGGTCGTGCTTCTGCAGCTCATCGGCGCGCTGCAGAAACGGCAATCAGCGACCTGCCTACGTCCTCCGGTGCTGACGCCATCTCTAGTCTCCTCTTCGCTCTCGCCGGTGCCTGGTGGCGAGGATAACTTGCGAGGCTACGGCAGTAAAATGGTGGATCGAATGTGCGTTGCCGACAGGCTCAGTGAGGTGGAATGGATGTTGCGAGGAACATCGAATTTGCCGTGACGCGAACGACAATGCTGAGGGTGTGTCCTCCTAAGAGCAACGGTGAATTTGTCTCTGGACAACGTCAAACTAATTCGTTCGCTGCTTTCCGACGATTCGCTTATGCGAAAGCCATAATTGTCTGCGAAGGAAAATGCGAAAGCCATAATGCAGTGTAGCAAGCGTGCCTAGCACCAGTCGCAAAAATGCGATGGCACAAACACTGTAGTTAACGTTAAGTTATAAAAATCGAGTTCTTAGGACACGTCCTGAGTCCCATCTCAACAACACATGCATTCTGAACTGAACGTTCAGACCTAACGTGTGATATTGGAAAGCTTTGCGCCATACATAAAAGGTTGATAGCAATCAGCTCCCACATTGTGCCATCATCTTTTGTATACTTGCAGCTTGTGCTGCAGTTGGTGGGGTGGAACCCCAACCTGCATACGACCCCATGCCTTGCGGTAAAGGCGCCACCACCCCTGTGGCCTGGCTGTTGACCACATTCAGCAGCACGGGGCGGAGAGAGCTTCCCTTGGAGACAAGGTTGACGTTGTTGAGCTTGATGCCGCCACAGGGGACCGTCGCACTGCATCGGATGTTCATTCCATACCTGCACCCGGACACATACAACACACAGTTATAACATACTCACACCGTTTTTACACGAGTACATGGCAAGTTTGGAACATGACATCAAGCGGTGGACCTTCAAGTCGGCATTTCCATTGTGGGGCAAGGTGTACGGCAGCTCTCACCGTGAGGTGGTGCCATAGACATTGGAGTAAGTGATGTTGACCAGTGCCACGTTGTCAGGCGCTATGCCACAGAAGAAGTCCTGGTGCGAGTCGCAGTAAAACTGTGGCAGGGAGACAGCACAACAAAGCAGAATCATATAGATGGTACTAAAACTCTGCAAAGGTGCTGCTGCAGCTGTTGCTGCAGTTGCTGCTGCACACAGCAAGCATGGTCTCACCTGGTTGAGTGTGATGGCGTTGTCAGTGTTGGTCATGTACACATTCTCGTATCGCACATTGCGCACCATCCCCAGGCCACCCTGCCATGTCTTGATGCGCAGCCCGTTATCGAGGTTAGATATAATGAGGTCCTTAAAGGTCACATCAGACACACACGCCACTGCCCCTCCAGCGCCCAGGCTTCCAATGCTGCAAGGGGAGAGCACAGTTCGGGCAGAGGAAGGGAGAAGGAATGGGAGTGAGAGTGGACGGGGGAGTGCCTGGCCATGCCAATGACAATCCTAACAGTCACATGGACCAGGCTTTCCACACCCCTGGTGCCATGTGAGCCCACTCGGAAAGCTCACCTGATGCCGTGCCCGGCCGTGGCAATGAGGTTCCTGACCGTCACGTTCACCACGCTCTGAGCGCCCCTGGCAACGAGTGACACGTCGTCATCCCCGCCATGGAAGGTGCAGTTCTCGATGAGCGCGTGGCGCACACCGATCAGCTTGAGCGAGTCCGTGTTGGGGGACGTCTCGGGGCTGTTGGTCGTCACCCCGCGGATCCACAGCCCCTCCGTGCCATACCCAAACACGTGGTACATCGGCGGGTTGCTGAACAAGGGGAGGAGGGACGTGGGAAGGGGGGATGACGGTGAGGGGAGGTGAGGGGTTGTGGGTGAGGGGGGATTGGGGGAAGGGCAAGGGAGAGTAGGGCGCACAGGCGGCAGCAGGAGGGGGTGGGATGCCACAGCAAATCGCACACATACATTCACACATACCGCAGCAGCAGCCCATCAATGGTGGTGTTGCGGCAGTCGATGAGCGCAATGATGTGTGGCCGCGTGGGCGCCTTGGACCCCCAGAACTTCCTCCCATTGCCGTCTATCGCCCCCTCCCCGCGCAGCACCAGTCCCTTCATGCCCTGGAACTGAAACAGCCCGTTGCTGGCGACACCAATGATAGTGCCGTTCAGGTAGAGTGAGGGCGTGGGGTAGCCGTCCTTGGAGAGCGGCCCGTAGATGGTGCCGTCCACCTGGGAACGGGGGAAGTTTGGGGCAAGTGGGAGGGGAGGAAAAAGGGGGCGACAGGATGGTGGGTGAGGGGCAATGCATGAGGGTGGAGGTCACGGGGTGGGGGGCAGCCTGGAGAGTGAGTGGGTCGTCAAGGGCGCTTGGCGCGATGAGAGTGGAGAGCGGAGGCGCCAGAGAGCGAGGGAGCGGGGGAATAGGGGCGGGGGAGCGTGGGAGCGGGAAAGGGAGGGCGCGGGGGATCGGGGGAGCGAGAGAGCGGGGGATCGGCGGAGCGTGAGAGCAGGAGATCGGGGGAGCAGGACAGCGGTACCTGCAGCGTGAGGCCAGCGCCGCACGACCCGTTGACGGTGATGGACTTCGCCAGGAAGAACGCGCCCTCCCCCACGCGCACTATCGCGCGCCCGCCGCTCCCCTTCGCGCTCTCACACGCAGCGCGGAACGCGCCGTCGAACGCGGCCCACGAGTCGGTAGCGTTGTCACCCACCGCCCCGAACCCCTCCTGCACATCGAAGAGCGGCGTTTCCGGCGGGTCCGTCGCGAGCGGCGCGACCCCCGCGTACGTGGATGGCCACTCCGGCGGTGGCGGTAGGGGGGTGGGAGGGGGGGGGCGGGGGGAGGCTTGGGGGACTTCCCTGGCTTCGGGGGAGACGGGGGCTTGGGGGACTTGGGCGGCTTTGGAGATTTCGGCGGTTTCGGTGATTTGGGCGACTTGGGCGGTTTGGGCGGCTGGTCGCGCTCTAGCGTGAGCGTGGAAAATGTGGGCGCACGCGTGTCGGTCTCTGGCGGGGACTGCGCGCGGGAGGCGGTGTGGAGAAAGGAGCGCGGGCGGGCGAAGGGAAACATCCAGGGGGCGAGCGAGAGCGATGACGTCAGCTTGGACTGCGCATGCGGGAACAGCGGTTGCGCGTCGGCGTCGGCGTCAGCGGGAACGACGTGGCGGGATGTGGAGCCGAATGAGTGCGGCAGCCATGCGCCGCGAGATATGCGGGGAAGATACGTCCATTGCGCTGAGGGATTGGGGAAAGGCGGAAGGGGGCGCGGGAATGGGAGGAGTGGAGGCAAAACGAGGTTGAAACCAGAAGCGAGAGAAGCGGAGAGACACCCCATGCGGGGCGGATGGGCAAGTGGGCTACGCGGGAAGCGTTAGAGCGGGCGGCGGCTGGAGTGCGGCGTACCGTTGGCGGTGGGAGGAGCGGGCACCGCGCAGATCAGCAGAAGCAGTGCGACCGTGAGCCGTGGCGAGGAGCCCGACATTTCGGCGCGATGCGGGTGCTGGGTGAGAGGGAGGTGGCAGGGAAGTATGGGAGTGAGGGAGTGGGGTGACAGGGAGAGCCGGTGCAGGTATGAGGAAGGAGATGGGCGGGAACGGGAGCACAGGGCTGTGTGTGACAGTAGCGGGACGTCGGAATGAGTTGACGTGCTCGGCGGCCATGGCTGGGAGAGAGCACTCACCATGTAACGTTGATGCCGCCGACAGTGCATTACGGTCCTCGCGAGAGCTGCTTCTACAAAGGCTATCATCGAGACTATTCGCACGGGTAATGGATATACTTCGGGCTATTGAGGTCTGCGTGAGAGCATGTATGCATAAAAAGCCGGGGTTGGACGGGGGAACGAGCTATGTTGAAAGCCGGAAATACAGCAAGAGTGGCGGCGCTACAAGCGACCCTGCTTCTGCATGTCCGAGTGTGAGCCCTCGCAAACTCGTGAATCTGGTCTACATGACAAATGTTCTCTCCAAATGGCCATTTATAGTTGGCAAAGTCCTCCTACAGATTTTGTAAAGTCGAGCTGCGACCTAGCTTCCGCAGGGGGAGGCGTGTTGTGAGTGATGTTTGCTGCTCTTGCCGCAGTCACCGGCGATTCCGTGAGTGACATTGGCGATGGTGATGGCGACCAGACAACAGGGTGGGTTGCTCTGGGAGGCTGATGGGCTGGCTGGAGGTGGTAACTGTTCCTGGCTGGAACAACGAAGGTGCAAACAGGCGGTGGCATTGTTGAAATTTTTTACCTTTTTAGTGCGCGCCGTCAAGCGCGCCTAGAGATTCAAGATAACTTCCGCATGGAAGCCGGCGACGTTTACCACCAGTGCGAAGGAAGTAACCAGCAATCGACGAGTCGACAAGCCCTTGGCTCGCACACCTACCCAGCCAGGCGATTTGCTTGAGCAAACGCGCTTCCGCTGGTATTGCGGGCGCTCCCATAAGCGAAAACGTTGGGCACGTTTCCTATTGGTGTGGTGTGGCTTGGATTCGGTGTGACTTGGCTCGGTCCACTTTGTTTGGAGGCGTGATTGAAAACGGCTCGAATTCAAAAGTTCCGCCGTCGCACCGAACGGAACCCAACAATGTTTTTCAACTGCCCCAGAATGTCATGCCCATCCCCGCGCTTAGGCAGATAGCGATAAATTCCTCACACCAAAGAAACGATGTGTGAACCCAAGCCCTTGTCGTGGCTGAAATACTTTCTGGCAAACAATGTCTGAACCCAAGCCTGAATGGCTGCTTCGGAATTGTTGGCTCGCGTTCAATATCTGACAGCCCAAAGCAAGCACGCGCCTCCAGCCAATTTGCAAGTGCCCAGGGCACACTACAGTGCAGCAGACATGACAGCTCCGCAAGTCTTGTTGAGAATTCCCGTTATAAATTGGCTGGTGTGATCGTACCGTACATCTATCTTTCACAGAATGTAGTTTCCAACTCAAGCATTAGGAAGAATGTCCTCACCACCAGATTGTAGTTTGCAACCCTAAGTAGAATGTTCTCAGGAAGTTCGTGAGATTATAACAAATAGCCCACCAGCTAGTTTCGAACCGAGTTACCGTGCAGCACCGCAACGCAACACGGAAACAGTGAAGCCCTCACACCAGCACAGTCAGTCCGTGCACTCAACACAAGGGTCGTTGCCTGTGCATGATCATCATACTCGGTGTGCGCCAGTGAGCCCCTCAGCGCCATCCGAAGCATCCCTCATCGCGAAAACGACTTCTGAAGCCATGAGCGGCGCGAGCACCAACTTTGGCGGGCTGTCGGAGGAGGCGGCGCGCGTGGCGGGGATAAAGGGGAAGAAGAGCACGTTCAAGGAGAAGACGTGGGTGAACCCGTCTCGCACGCTCTACATCACCAACGTGCCGCCCGGCGCCTCCACGGAGCAGCTCGAAGGGGTGAGAAAGCGCCGCGGGATCAACGCCGGGACGTTGCGGGAATAAATTTATATTTCCCGCTCCTGTAGCGTTCAGCGTGTTTGTGTGAACTGCACGGGAACGCTTGTGGCCAGGAAATCTATTACCTACTGGCCGCGAGATCGCGCGGTTCTTCATATCAAATCGTCGAACCGTTTCTTGATTCTGCCTGACCGACGGACTGTGTGTGCGAGAGTGGTGCGCGCGAGCAATCAAGGGAGCGACGATTCGGTACACGTGTGTCCCTTTCCTTGTGCCGGCTGAGCTGTAGCTAGTGCTGTAGCTAGTGCTGTAGCTAGTGCTGTGCCCTGCGCCAGCCCACACTGCACGCTTGTATCACACACTACCGCATGCCAACCCGGCACCGTTCACGCACACTGGTGTAGGTGCTGTGAGATGATGTGCTAGTCAGTCACACTACTCCCCTCTCTTCCCTCTCTTACCCTCCTCCCGCTCTTCCGTCTCCTATCCCCCTTCCGCCCTCCACCCCCCGTACGTGTCCCCCCCTCTCCCTGTGCGTGCGGTCTCACGCACGTCGCACAGCTCTTTCGGCATCTGGAGGGCTTTATTGCTTTTCGTCGGGTGAGATACCATGCTGCTGCTGCTGCTGATGCTCGCGTCAAACGAGTCCCTTGCTGTTGAGTCTTGCTTTTGTATCCTCTTGTGTTTCACACCCCAGTGAACCCGTAATGCATCTGACGCGCCCTTCTGTCCCAAGCAATTCATGCAGACGCTGCCATGTGTGAGCTGTAACATATGCTGTATGTCACATGCGCTCACTGTTTCCTACACTGTGCGTGGTGTGCAGGTGCGCAGCATGTGCTTTGTTGACTTTGACGAGAAGCAGCATGTGAGTGGGATGCTGGTCGGTAGCAGCAGTAACTGGGATGCTGGTAGCGTGTGAGTGAGAGGCTGATAGCACGTGAAGTGATTCCTTGGCACATCAGCCTGCTATATGCTCCCTTGGTGCCTCTGTTTGCTCATCGTGTGCCCTTCACTGCTGTCCGTCCCACTGCCACCAGTGCGTGCGTGCAACTCCTGCTGCACAGTGTGTGCCCAGTTAGTCGTGGTGCTGCTGGTTCCCATTCTACACCTCTGCATCTACTCGCCTCTCGCTGCACCTGCCCACCCCAACCACCGCCTCCCCATCCATCTCTTCTCGCGGCACTTCAACCGCCAGGCAACAGTTTCCATGTGGAAGGCCAGCGGGCAACTTCCCATTCTTCCCTCATCTCGCCTCTCACACATGCCTCCCATCCCTTCCCCACCGCCTCGCATGCTTGGCCCGGCAGGCGACAGCAGCCATGTGGAAGACCAACGGGCACAAGTTCAAGCCGCACCACGACGGGCTTCTCGTCAGCTACGACAAGGTATAACGACCCACCCTTCCCTTCATCCAATTAACGAGCGCATTCAGCTCCGTCTGCCCCTTCCACCCTCTCCCCCTGCCCACCACTTTTGTCCCACTCAACTGCTATACCATACCCCCCCTTTCCCCGGCAGGACGACGGGGAGGAGAAGGGGGGGTGGAGCATGAGGCAGCGAGTGGAGGAGCGGCAGCGCAAGGCAGAGGCGGACCTCTCCCGCGTGCTCTACCGCTGCGCCGCCTGCAACCACTTCTGCTTCAAACTCGGTGAGTTCTCGCTGCTGTCACTGCCACTTGTGTCGCATGGTTCTCTTAGCATGGGAGGATGATGGGGTGGACGGCTGCTGGTTGAGTCTAGCTGTGAGTTGTCCCGGTTCATTTGGCACAGCTGGTCAAGCTCTTCTCCACTCATTTCCATCTCTCGCTTTCGTTCCACATTGCGACCGAAGCATTTGCATCGGTCATCTGTTTTTCCACTGTTACCTTCACTCCCTTTCCCTCGTCGCACTCCCTGTCTGCCCCCGCCCCTCCCTCCTCTCGTCTCCGCTTCCCCCACCTGTCCTTTTCTGCTCCGCAGTGGCCCTCCTGAGCTGCGCACGGACGTCAGCAGGGTGGGGAGTTGCCTATACGGGCTGATTCCCTTCTCGCACCTTAATGCCCCCCCCCCCCCCCCCCCTCTCTCCCCCCACCGCCTGCAACCGCATGACTGTTGTGCAGCGCGCCCCCTGTCGGCCCTGCCCGAGCGGCGCACGGATGGCAGCAGGGTGGTGGAGGCGGACACACACTGAGTCTCCTTGCATTCTTCAATGCCCCTCCCCCCCCCTCCCCACCCTCTCTCCCTTGCCTGCAACGGCATCAATGCCGCGCAGCACGCCCGCTGTCAGCCCTGCCAGAGCGGCGCACGGACGGCAGCAGGGTGGTGGAGGCGGCAACAGATCTGGTCACCATGATGGCCGTTAAGGGCGGCCAGAAGCTGCTCAAGAGGTGGGTGGGGGGGGGGGGCACATGCACTCATTTGAGACGTCTCAAAAGGCAGCAGGGTGGTGGAGGCAGCAACGGACCTGGTCACCATGATGGCCGTCAAGGGCGGCCAGAAGCTGCTCAAGAGGTGGGCGCTGGGGCACGTGTGCGCATTGCAAAGACCCGTATCAATGCTTGCAGTCTTCTCCATTGGCCCAGCTCGGCTTCTTCTTCTTGGCTGCTCTCGCTCGCCTTGTTTGTTCTTGCATGCCATGCGCTGAGAGGGCTCGCCTCTTCATCTCTTCTGCTGCTCCCTCTTCTTGTGGACTGTGTGTGTGCGTGCGTGCGTGTGTGTGTGTGTGTGTGTGTGTGTGTGTGTGTGTGTGTGTGTGTGTGCACATGAGCATGCGCATGCATCATTTGAATATGTGTGCGCTCTGGGACTGAGTGACTGACTAACCATACATGCATACATGCATGCATGCATGTCTATGCCTTGCCCTGCATGTCAATGTGCATGCATGCATCATGCCATGTGGACTGTGTTGGGCAGCAACCGTGGCATTGGTGTGCGGACGTCACGTGGAGCACGGTTTATCAACGCCCGACCATGACATCGGGGATGCCTTGCCTTCTCAACATCACTCCGGCAACTCCGTTACTCATGTGCTGCCTGCGCATGCGCGTGTCATCAACGGCCCTGCCTGCTCGCGTCCCCGGCGCTGCGCTCCCTCCCTGCGCTGTGCCTGCCCACATGGGTGCCACCACCAACCTCTTGCCTGCCCACGTGCCACCACCAACGCCTTGGATGCACGGTGCTACACGTGGGGGCAGGGAGAAGGGGGTGGAGAGGCAGTTCCGGTACAACTGTGAGCTCTGTGACGCCTGCATCGCGTACCGCCCCGTGCCCTACGAGCAAGAGTCCAAGTACATCTACCTCTTCCCTGAGGTCAGTGCCGTCTTGAGGCGTATAACATGTAGGCATTTACCGGTCTATTCTATACGCCTCAGTGCTCTACGAGCAGGTCTCTAAGTACATCTACCTCTTCCCTGAGGTCAGTGCCGTCTTGAGGCGCATAACATCTAGGCCCCTACCAGTCTCTACTCTCCCCTGCCCTACGAGCAAGAGTCAAAGTGCATGTATACCCCTTTCCCAAGGTCAGTGCGCTTTCATGCGCCTAGAAAAGGGACATCCAGAGAATGGTACTGCCTGGTGGCATACATACATGCACGGCTCTAAGCATTATCCCCTCCCTGAGCTCACTGCCGCATCCTCCCACAACACATCAACCCATCTGACGCTCCTCAAAAGCACCGTAGCATATCGCATTGCATTGTCAGCCTTTCCCCTCCGGTTCTCCAACGCTAATCCGACCACACACGCTCCCCCTTCCCTCTCCCGCCCCCTCCCCCCACCCATCCCACCAGGCCTTGACAGAGTCAAAGCCAGGCCAGCCGAACCACTCGTCCCCGGCAGCAGCGGTGGCGGCAGCGGTGGCAGCGGGCGTGGCGGTGTGCCCCGCGGTGGTTCAGCTGCGCCGCGTCACCGTGCCCACCACACTAAATTTCAGCCTTTCTCCCTCCTGCCCCCCTCCGCTCATCCCACCAGGCCTTGACAGAGTCAAAGCCAGGCCAGCCAAGCCACTCCTCCCCGGCAGCAGCGGTGGCGGCAGCGGTGGCAGCGGGCGTGGCGGTGTCCCCCGCAGTGGCTCAGCTGCGGCCCGTGACTGTGGCTGCTGATGGACTGCCCTCCATCCTCGGCCTCCCCGGCATGCCCCTCCCTGCCGTTGCTGAGGACGCTGCTGCCGCTGCTGCTGTGCCTAGTAGCGCTGATGCTGCTGGTGGTGCTGCTGGTGGTGCTGCTGCTATTGGAGACGGGCAGGGGGGTGGAGAGGGGGAGGTGGTGAAGGGAGGGAAGGAGGGTGAAGAAGGGAAGGCAGGGGAGGAGAAGGCTGATGGGAGCGATGGCAAGGGTGGAAGCAGGCAAGAGGACAGCAGGCCACAGGTGCGTGTGGTACCCCCCACCCCCGCCCCCCCCGTGTTGCCTCTTCCTTCCTAATGTCCTAGTGAGGGTTAAATTCATGGTTGCAATCTCTGAGTTGCTCCTGCATCAACTTTATCGTCCCCTCCACATTCGATGCACCCCCTTCCATCCAGCAGGATGCAAGCTGCAAGGACTAGTTGCAACCAGGCCATGTTGCAGCAAGGCCATGTTGCAGCAAGGCCATGTTGCAGCAAGGCCATGTTGCAGCAAGGCCATGGGCTGCCAGCACCAGCCAGACAGCCACAGGGTTGTCGTTTAGAACCTGATGCACTCTCTGGCGAACAGTTGATCAGTTGTTCGCCTACCGTAGTTTGTCCGCGTAGTTAGTACTGCATTCAGTATGGTACCTATATACAAACATGTTCTTTCTCTTGGATCTGGTTAGGGAAGGCAAGAATTAGCACGTTTCTGTTCAACTGTTACCCTCAGTCTCACCCCAATCATGCACGACATGCTGTATGTTCTTTGTGTTATGGTTTACTAGTTCTTTCAGTAAGACAACCAGTTCTCACGGAAGGTAGAGCTTCAATGAGTTTTCTAATTGGATTATCGAGTCATTCGCTATCGCGTTCGCACCCACCATCACTCCCCCACCGATAGCAACCCGCCAGGCAGTCACACAGCCACCCCAACCAAGTCGCGATTCGCCATGCCTATGGCCCGGCGTCCGAATCCGAACACCCCAACCAGCCTTTCCCCGACCCGCCTCGTCTCGCGCGCGCCATGACTCCGCGCCCGCCATGACCTCCCCCATCCCCCGCCGCCACTCCGCCAACCCGTCGCCCGATCGCGTGAGCTCTCCCTTTCCGCCCCCGCTGCACCCCGTTTTCTCGCCGCATTCTTCGTGCGTCCCCTCCGCAACCCCCTCTCCTCTCCTCTCCGCTTCCCCCCGCTCATCCTCGCGATTGTAGTTCGTCACAGGTCGTCGCGTGGCGAGGGGCCGCGAAGGTTTCGCAGCGTCGCCGTTACTGTCGCCGCCGTCGCCTGTCCAATCGCAGTCGCCTCATCGCGCGGCGACACGGGACTCCGAGGTTCGCAGGCGGGGCGCGGCGGATCGGGGATTGGCGGAGCCGGCGGCGGTAGTGCGCGGGCGGGAGGGCTATCGGGGGAGCGCAGGGGGTATCGGCGTCGGGGGAGCGCTTCAGTTGCGCAGCCGCGCGGGCAGCAGGATGGGCACGGGGGGAAGTAGCGCGGGCACGGATCAGCCCAGCAGCAGGGGAAGCGGGGGAGGCGGCGGGAGGGGCGCGGCGCGGCGGGTGGCGGTAGTGGCGGTGGTGGCGGTGCTGGCGCTGACGCCGCTGCTGGCATTCACGAGCGTGATGCCGCCATGGCTGCACGCGCACGGTGGCGCGCAGACAGAGGGGGAGGTGAGGGGAAAAGGCGAGGTGACTGGCGAGGGCGAGGTGAGGCGTAAAAGTGTGTGTGCTGTATCAACGTACCTGTCACCTTTCGTCCCTCCCTCCCTCCACCCTCCCACGGCCCACATGACATGCCTTTCACCCCTTCCCCTTCGCTCTACCCTCCTCTATCCTCCATCCAACTCCTCGTATCTGTCTCCCTTCAACCCCCACCCCCCCACGCTGCTCTCGCCTTCCCCCCACTCTGGCACCGGCAGCAGGCATCGCTGGTGACCCATGCTGCCCTGCCCCACACGGATCTTCACACGGAGGTGAGGTGAGGTGAGGTGAGGTGAGGTGAGGTGAGGTGCGGTGAGGTGAGGTGAGGTGAGGTGAGGTGTGGTGAGGTGAGGTGAGGTGCGGTGAGGTGAGGTGAGGTGTGGTGAGGTGAGGTGCGGTGAGGTGAGGTGAGGTGTGGTGCGGTGAGGTGAGGTGAGGTGAGGTGAGGTGCGGTGAGTTGAGGTGCGGTGAGGTGAGGTGAGGTGAGGTGAGGTGCGGTGAGGTGAGGTGAGGTGAGGTGAGGTGTGGTGAGGTGAGGTGAGGTGCGGTGAGGTGAGGTGAGGTGTGGTGCGGTGAGGTGCGGTGAGGTGAGGTGAGGTGAGGTGAGGTGATGCAAGGCGACTGGTGGAAGGGGCCGGAGCAGGGACGAGTGTGCGAGGGAGAGAAGAGCGTTTGCAAGCAGAGCAGAGCAAGGGGCGCACACCCGTTGCTTGTGTGCTCTGCTTGTGCCACCTGCAAGCAGAGCAAGGGACGCCATGCCACGTTCCTGCCACACACTCACCATCGACTTCTCTCACACCACCCCATCCACCTCTCCCCTCTCCATCCATCCTTTCTCACCCCCCCTGCATTCCCCATACAATACCTCCTCCAGACCCCCACACCAGGGCTGTCAACAGTAGCAGCAGCAGAAGCAGCAGCGCCTGCTGCAGATTTTGAGCTGCCCTGGCCGGAGGACTCCATGGCGCTGTGCCTTGTCGGGCAGCTGCGAACGTTTGAGCTGACCGGGCCATCCATAGCGGCGAATCTGGTGGGGGTTGAGGGGTACGGGCAGGCAGACGTGTTTGTGGTGACGCCCCTCGATGAGAACTCCGCCAAGCTCCTCGCCCTCAGGGGGATGGGGTGGGCGGAGGGGGCGCAGGGAGCCGGGGGAGCCAGGGAAGAAAACGTCACGCAGCAAGGGGAGGCGGGGAGAGGGGGAGGAGGAGGATTGGGAGGCCCAAGGCTGGTGTCAGTGCGGGTGTTTCCGGACTTCAACGTGAACGAGGCGCTGTACCCCACACACGCGCTCAAGGGGCTGGAGAACGGGCCACAGGGGCTGCTGCAGCAGTTTAGCATGGAAGCCATGTGCGCCAACGACATCGCTCACAGAGAACGCCGCTACAGCCGCCGCTACAGGTGGCTCATGAAGGCCCGCCCAGATTCTTTTTGGGCGGCGCCGCCCGCGCCGCTGGGTGGCTTGGAGTATCGGAGCTTGACGGCGCCGCCCGGGTTGGATTTTGGTGGGGTGAATGACAGGCTGGCGGTGGTGCCGCGGGCGGCGGGCCGGGCGGCGTTTGCTCGGCTGCACATGCTGGGGGCTGTGAGCGAGGGCGGCGGCGAAGCTGGCAAGTAGGGCTGCTGGGATTCGCTGCTCTTTGCTCCCGTCCTCCCCCTTGCCATTCCTGCTGCCACCATGCTTCTCACTTGCATGTCTCCACAGTTGCTCATCACTCCTCAACCCGTCTCTCTCTGCTGCATCCGTGCCCACCACTCACTGCAGGCGAGTGAACGCAGAGACGGTGTACGCGCGCATGCTGCAGCGCCTGAACGTGTCGGTCACGCGCGCGCACTTCCCCTTCTGCCTCGTGTCACACCACCAGTTCTTCAAAATGCTCGCCCTCCCCAACCTCCGCAACCGCCGCGGCGGCGACTACTGCCGCCCCTGCCAGCACGAGCCGCCGCCCAACCCGTTCTGCGAGCAGACGGGGCCGTGGGCGGCGGACTGGGCGGCGCAGTTCGACCAGCATGTGCCAAAGCGGCTGGCGGCGGGGCGGTGGGCGGTGATGGCGGCGGTGGAGGGCGGCAGAGAGGGGTGTGAGGCGCAGGTGGCACAGGTGGGTGGGGGTCATGGGCAGAGGTGGGTGGGGTTGACTTGTGTGGGAGATAGTTCACATGCTCACATGCTCACATGCTCACATGCATCCCTCCCTCCCTCCCTCCCTCCCTCCCTCCCTCCCTCCCTCCCTCCCTACCTCCCTCCCTACCTCCCTCCCTACCTCCTCATCTCTCATGCTTTCCCTCCACCATTTCGCATATCCCCCCCTCTTCATCCCCTACTTTCCTTACCTCAGCTCTCTCTCGAGGTTCGGCGCCGAACCAACCCATCAGCCTCGTTGACAGCCCCACCGGCTCGCCGTGCTCTCCTCACCCCGCAACAACAACAACAACAACAAGAACAGCAAGCATTAGCCTCTAACCGGCCAGGCCAAACCTCCCTGTGGCAGCACCTGCTGGGGCGGCTGGGAGGGAGGCCAGTTGCGAGTGGGCAAGAGCAAGGCGGGAAGGAAGAGGAGACAGCAGCAGCAGCAGCAGCAGCAGAGGAGGAGGCAGCAGAGGTGGCGTGGCGGGAGGCAGTGAGGAGGGAGGGGTGGCGGGCGCCAGTACCAGCAGTGCTGTGTGTGCGGCATGGGCTGGGGAAGGCAACGGTGTTTGGGGCATTTGGCACAGGGCGCTCTGGCAGCTGGTCCGCCTTCCTGACTTACCTCTACGCTTTCAACCACAGGTGCGTGCTTGGCTTAATAGATCAGGACTGACGCACTGCACCGCAGTGCATTGCACTGCACTGCAGCCAACATTCTGTTCATGCCGGCTGTCCAGCCCGAAGGTCGTTTTCTGATCGCGCTCACCTTTGCCTCACTCCCTTGATCCCCCGCAATCCCCATCACCGCTGTCACGCCCTCTCCCCCTTACCCTCCTCCCCTCCGTGCAGCATCGCTGTGTCCCTGCCTGCCACACCGCCCTCCGCCGACCTCCTCTGGGACGCCCACCTGCTTTCCGCCCTGCCCTCCATGCGCCTCCTAATGCTGCCACCCCCCCCCGCCCAAGCTTCCGACGCTGCCGCCCAGCAGCAGTCAGCAGTGGGCGGCAGGGAGGTGGGTGCACAGTACAAGGCGGCCTTTGAAGCAGCGGTGAGGCGGATAAAGGCGAAGGAGGAGGTGTTGGGGCGGGGGGGTGCTGCTGTGGATGCGGACCATGTGCTCCGGGCTGCAGGGGCGTCCAAGCACGTGGACCTCATTCGAGTGAGTGTCAATATACATTACATGAGCGTTACATGAGCATTGCATGTGCACACCTGGGAGGAACCATGCCCGCCTTACACGTGCAAGCTTGCTGGAGTTGCAAGCACTGCTGACGTGTGAGCTGCGCGTGTGCCAGCTGCCGTGGATCTGGAGGGCACGGGGGCAGAGCATAAGAACACTCTTCCCTCAAAACTGCTCCCCTCCCAACCCAACCCTTCACCCCGCAACCAGGTGGGAGCGGGGCGCCTACCAGACCTGCAAGTGCTGCTATCCCGCGGCCTGAGCACGTGCCAGCTGCTGGTGGACGTGGAGGGTGCGGGGGAGGGCGTGCTGGCGCAGCTCAGGGGCAGGGGTGGGATGGGCGGGGAGGGGGTTGTGGAGGGTGGCGGTGAGCGGAGCGCTGATGGAGGAAGGGTTGGGGGGAGGATGGGGGGAATGGGGGGGATGGGTGGGATGGGAGGGAGGCGGTTGCAGCAAGTGGGGCAAGGGGCGCTGCAAGGGGAGGGGCAAGAGGGCGAGCATGGGGTAGATCAAGGAGGGGCAGATGCGAGCAAAGAGCCGGAGGAGCTGGATGCGTTCTTGGTGCCGGATGACCCGCTCTTAGCTAAGTGGCGGGGGGAGGCGGAGCTGGGGGAGGTGCAGCGGTGGCTGTCAGGGAGGTCATTCCATCTGGACCGGTGTGTGTCGGGGAACGAGGAGAGGGTGGGGCGATGTACCTTCTTCTCCCTCACACATTGCCACGCCCCCGTTACTGCCCCTCAACAAACAACCGGTAGATAGTGTGTTCTTTACTGCCTGATTTATTGATTTTAATCTGATGTCCATTTCTGAAATCTGCTCAGTTCATTTCATTTCCAGTGTAAAGCTGTGGCTAATCCCTATGCATTATTGTAGCAAGAGCTTCTGGAATGCCTTCATAGCCAAAACATGGCCCAACTTTTGTTCAATCTTCCACGAAAGCGGTTCCTCCCTTTCCCTTGAGCATCATTCAAAACAGGGTTGATAAACAGCGACGGTTATCTGAAACCATGGTGGATGCCTGTGAGACACCCATGAGTTGCAAGAGGAGAGTCTAGAAGACTCTGTTCACGCCATTCGGCCTTGGGAGCTGGTAAACGAATCAAGGCTAGGCTAGTCCTACTGCCCACAGCAAGTGCATCTGAATGGGCGTTTGGCAGCAGAGGTGCAGAGCAGCAGCGGTGCAGCACGGATGGAATCAGGGGCATGACTGTTTGGCGCTGAGTCGTGTGTTTGTTTGTGCGTAGGCCTCTCAGTTGCTTGTCATGTCACAGCCACTCACACCGTGAGCAGGTCCTGAGGGGGAGGGACGGCGGAGATGGATGGAAAGGGGTGCAGAGGTGCGGTTGTTCGGTGCAATCCCTGACGTGGCGTGGGAGCAGGCATTTGGAGGATCTACCTCCAAAGATCAACTTGAAGAAAGGAAAACAAACATCAAGGTACGGAGCCTCCTGCACTGCACTGCAGATGTGTGGGCGGGTGGGTGTGGCACGGACCTTCTCCTTTTGCTTGAAGGCCGTGTCGATCTGCTTCACATAGTCGTCCGTCATCTTCTGCTTGCATGCACGCGTGGGAAAGGGGGCGGAAGGTGTAGCAAGACAGAAAAGAGGGAGGGGCGGAAGGGGGGGGGAGGGGAGGGGGGGTACAAAAAGAGAGGGGTGTCCGAAGCGAGTGGGGTAAACAGAAGCAGAGGTTCAGGAATGTGAGTTTCCTGACAGCTAGGAGCAGGAAGGGGTGAGTCAGCAGAGGTTGTGAGGAAGATGTGTGGGTGCCTGCATGGCGGGTAATGCTGGCCAATCCTAGCATGCCACGTCACCTGGATGTCGTTTGAAAGGTCCTTGAGAGCATCCTCTGAGATCTTCTTCTCCTGCCATGCACCAATGGGGACATGACACGTGGCATGTGACAAAAAGAGATGATAAGAGACACGGTAAGCAGGAAGCTACTCTTTGCAGATAGCGTGCTGTAGTAAACGGCTCGCGCAAGATGGTGCAGGGCAGGGCAGGGCAGGGCGGCGCATGTGGCATGCAGAGCATGCAGCAGGAGCGCAGGCAGGCGGCAGGCATGTTAGTCACGGTGTGTGTTAAGGAAGGCACGCTGAGAGGGGTGGGGCAGGCAGTTGACTCTAGAAAGATTTGATTGTCAAGAGCGATGCCAAATGCGGTGGTCAAGGCGGGCGGCACCTTCTGCAGCTTCTCGTACGCCTTGATGGAGTCCCGGCGCACGTTGCGCAGCGCCACCTGGTGGCCATGCGTGGGTATGAGGGGGGAAGGGGGGCCACGATTACAGGTGGGGACAGAGGAGCAGGCGGGGAAGAGGGGCCAGCGGGGTGAGGGGGCGAGCGGGTGGGGCAGGGTGCCCAGGGTGCAGGTGGCAGGTGCAGCGGGGGTGGTGAAGGGCATTCGTGAGAGAGCCTTGTGTCATGCTTCAGCAAAGCTGTTTGCTTTTGGGTGTGGTGTGGGCATGGGTGTGAGTCGTGGATGAATGGATTCATGAGAGCACACTTGGCCTGCATCCCTTTCATGGCTCACCTTGCCATCCTCAGACAGCTTTGACACCGTCTTCAGCAGCTCCTGTTGCCGCCATGCCCACCCAAACACATTCCCATGACATGCCATGACTTGCCATGCCATGCCATGCCATGGCCGGCCGTGCACAAGCCCATGCCACGCCCACCCGTGCACCACACATGCCATGCCCATGCACATGCCGTCCAAGTATCAAGCCACGACATGCACGTGCATTGCCATGCCACTCCATGCCATGACATGCAGTGCCCACACCATGCCATGGCAAGGCGGAAGGGAGAGAAGAGGAAATTTGGAGTGGTAATTTCAAGAAGCCAATCTTGAGAGGTGGTCGGAGAGAGGATGGGAGGAGGCTGGGAGGCATCTCAGGGTGAGCGAGCATAGAAGCAGAGGCATGGCATCACAAGTCCATCGGCTGGCGACAGCAACCACCTCTCATCTCCTGCTCCTTCTCACCATCCCCACCCCTGCCCTCCCTCAGCCACGTTTCGGTTGTCTATGCTACTGCCTATTATTACGCCACCTCATTCCCACTGTGTCAGATTTTTACTGAACATATAGCGGAGGATGTAAGGGTGTAGAGAGTCTGTATGTAGTGCGTATGTGGCCCTCGGGAGGCAGCACAGCACAGCACCTTGCGGCGCTCGGCGGTGAGCTGGGGGATGGAGAGGCGGATGACGTTGCCATCAGAGGAGGGCGTGACTCAAAACAGGACTCGGGGGAGGGGTGGGGATGGGGGGATAGAGCACAGCACCTTGCGGCGCTCGGCGGTGAGTTGGGGGATGGAGAGGCGGATGACATTGCCATCAGAAGAGGGCGTGAGGCCCACGTCCGACTTCATGATCGCCTTCTCGATGGACGGGATGCTGGGACGATGGGAAAGAGGGGGGGGGGGATGGAGGGAGAAGTGGGGAACGTTGTGATAAGGGCGAACGGGAGGGAGGCGGTGTACGAGCAAGAGTGGCGAAAGGGTGTGACGGTATGGACAGGATTCTGGTGGTCAGGGGGGGAGAGGGGGGGGGGTGGCCGCGGGATGAGGGGGAAGTGACAGAAAGAGTAGCAGGAGGGCGTGATCGCCTTCTCGATGGACGGGATGCTGTGTGAAAGAGGGGGGAGGAGGAGAAAGTGGGGGGTGTGTGAAAGGGGGGAGGGGGGGGGCAAGAGCAAGAGGAGCAAAAGGGTGTCAGGCCCACGTCTGGCCTCTTAATCGCCTTCTCTATGGGCGGGATGCTGGCTCAGGGGGGAAGGGCAGGTATTGTGGTGAATGTGAGGGGGGGGCTCTAATAAGTGCTTCACAGCACGTCTAACCTCATTATGGCCTTCTATTATGGAAAGAATGCTTGGGGCGGGGAAGGAATGGGGCGAGGCAGGCAGTGGGGCCGAGAGTGGGAGGGGTTCGAAGGAAGGGAAAGGAATGGCACCTGGATTTGTCGAAGGGCGTGACGAGCAGCATGGAGGCGTCGGGCGTAGCGATCTGCGCGATGCTCTTTAGAATCACGTTTGTGCCATAGTACTCCACCTGGCGGTAGTACAGCAGGGCATGGGAGGGTGACACGTGGCAATGGGAGTAGCACACGTGGCGATGTGAGGGGTACACGTGGCACATAGTGCAGCCAGCAAGGCACAGACGCAACTGAAGGCAGAAGCCAGATTGTAGGTGCAAAGAGGCATAGAGAAGAGGAGAGCGAGACCAAGAGTGGGAGCGAGAGTGAGGGTGAGAGGTAGGAAGGCATAAGGAACGGGAGGGGCTGACCTCGATGCGGTCCAGCAGGGAGGGGCTGGCTCGCCCCGTTCTGACCGTGTTGAAGTTGCCCCTCACGCTGTCCAACGTCTTCTCCATGCGCTCCATCTGCACCGCGTTGCACCGCAGTGAATCATGGTAGTGTGGCAGGGTGGGGAATACGAGGAGTGCCAGGGCGGTGAAGGGAGGTGAGTGAGCAGCAGAGTAAAGGAGTTGAACGAGGGAGAGGGAGGGAGGGTGGTGGATGGAAGGAGGCGAGAGCGAGGGGAGTGCCAAGCGTTGCCTGTGCGTTGGTGATGCCAGATACAAGCCTAAACCCTGCTGAAGAATGGCGGCCCAGTTATTATGCAAGTCTTAAACCCTGCCGTGCTGCCTTTGTGTTGCAAGCTCGCCAAGCGCCACACCCTCCCCTGGCAAGCACGGGTGCACTGGTCCCGCCACTCACCGCGCTCTCCTCACCGCGCCCAGGGCTGCACTCACCGCGCTCTCCTCACCGCGCCTAGGGCTGCACTCACCGCGCTCTCCTCACCGCGCCCAGGGCTGCACTGCACTCACCGCGCTCTCCTCACCGCGCCCAGGGCTGCACTCACCGCGCTCTCCTCACCGCGCCCAGGGCTGCACTCACCGCGCTCTCCTCACCGCGCCCAGGGCTGCACTCACCGCGCTCTCCTCACCGCGCCCAGGGCTGCACTCACCGCGCTCTCCTCACCGCGCCCAGGGCTGCACTCACCGCGCTCTCCTCACCGCGCCCAGGGCTGCACTGCACTCACCGCGCTCTCCTCACCGCGCCCAGGGCTGCACTGCACTCACCGCGCTCTCCTCACCGCGCCCAGGGCTGCACTGCACTCACCGCGCTCTCCTCACCGCGCCCAGGGCTGCACTGCACTCACCGCGCTCTCCTCGATCATCATCAGCTCCTCCTCCACCTCCTCGTCCGCTGCCGCCCGCACCGCCCCAGGCCGCGCAACGCTGGCCCGCCGGGGATCCATGTGGGTAGGATAGGGGAAAGGTGAGAGGGTGGGGGTGGATAGGAGGGAAAGAGAGTGTGTGGTTGGGAGGGTGACGCGTTGTGGAGCGGGATGCAGGCCCATGAGAGAATACAGATTCGAGAAACTCGTTTCGAATCCGCGAGAAGCTACAAACCCGCCAGCCGGTACCTTTTCACAAAGCATTGCCGTCTTTGTTGCTTCCGTGCAGTTCATCCCTTTCGACTCTAGTTGTCCGAAGGTGAAGGGGAAGAGTGGCAGCGTCTGAGGCTTACCGTAAATGAGTCGCTCGGCGCGAGTCGCAGCGTTGCCACGAGGCGATGTGTGCGACGCTAGCGAGCGAGCGGTGTGCGCGCGAAGCGATGCGACGAGCAGGCAGCGAGGCCACGGGCGTCGCACGGCATTGCGACGAGGGAGTTGAGCCTGGGCGACAATGTACGAACGGGGATGGCGAAGTACGCGGAATTCGCGGAATGAGATTAAGAGTCGGGGGCATGGCGAGATGGGCGGAAATGGCGAACGAATGAACCCGCGTGAAGCCACGAAGCGACGTGGATCTCAGCGGAGCGATTATTGCGAGCGACAATTGCAGGTGCCAATGCGGCTGCGATGCTACATAGAACGCGGCGCGAGTACATGACATGCGGCGGCGCGTCATCGTAACCTACCTATACACCGCAATGTGCGGCAATCAGCCACCGCCGTGGCAGCCATGGAAGCCATTCCACGTCAGCGCGCAGCGAGCGGACGAGCAGGCAGGGCGTGTGAACCGTTGGCGCAGCGGCAGCTAGCAAGCAGAGGCGGATGGCGGCGACTAGTGCACTGGTCTGGAAGCAGCGAGCAAGGAGGAAAAGCAGAAATCTGTGCACAAGCAGTGAGGTTGATTGCTTTGAGGGATAGGCAAGGGAAACGAGGAGGCTTGTGAAAGGGGCAAGCGCTGGGCGTGGCTTGTGCTGCTCTCCACCACATCAGCAGCATTCCCAAGGGGAACGGGAAATGATCATATTAGGGCCGAACAGTGCCAGAGGGGTGATCAAAGTAGGGCCGGAAAATCTCGTCCGTAGGATTTCAACCCGGAGCTGCCCGCACGGCTGGGCGAACAAGCCGAACCGTGAGTTAAAGAGAATTGCTGAAGAAACCGAATTGCGTGTAAAACTTCTTCAATAAGGGTTTTGACCGCCGTCAACTACAGCGCGCGCGTCGCATTGTTCTGGAATTAAAATTCGGCGTGTCAAATCGTGAGTACGTAACAACATATTTTATTATGGGTGATACATATCACCAACGCGATCGAAAACGCACAGTAAAAAAAATATTACCCATTCGAAAACGGATGCGCCTCGGGAGGCATCAACCCTAAATACCAGGAAGGTCCCCTTTTTTAGGGTTGATCCATCCCGAAACTGCATCCAGATTCCCTATGGGTTTTTAGTTTTTTTGCTGCCCTAAGAGTTCCCAGCAGAGTCGGCTCGCTAAACGACACGCGAGCGAAAATGCTAGCCAGTGCATACAACTAGTAACAGAATTACGTGCAACAAACGAGACCTCTTTGTTAATATCTTTTTGTGCAGCGGTTTGGTAATTTCCGGGCCTCTCGGCCCTTGGTCGATCACCCCTCTGGCACTGTTCGGCCCCTGCATGATCTTTTCCCAAGGGGAACAGATTTAGCGCCACGTCACCTGTGTAAAAATTGATATTTTTATTACACAGCATTAACTATTTTAGTTTGAAACATAAACATGTCTGGATGGTGTAGTCGGTTATCACGCCAGTCTCACACACTGGAGGTCTCCGGTTCGATTCCGGGTTCAGACAGACATTTTGCCGTTTATTTTGTCCAACATGATATATTTTCCCAGAGTCTCTGACTGGGAGTGCTGCAAGTATGGGCTACACTAGGCATCTGGGAAAATCAAAATACATTAAATACAGTATTGTAAGAATGATGAATAGGGATTGAATCTAAGTGGGTAAGCAAATGAGGCACAACAACAGAAGGGGCAGGAGAGTTCTAATACACTCAAAAAGACAGCTGCACAAGCCATAGAGGTATGGGAAAAGTGTCGGTGCTGGGATTCGAGCCCAGGTCTCCACGGCCACAACGTGGGATTCTAACCACTAAACTACACCGACTTGTTGTGGAGGTTTCTTTTCAACATTAGGTTTTTATTTTGCGTCGGCAAACACCTTACTCTCCCCCTGCCTGCTTGCTCCTTGGCCAACACAGCTGAAGCTGCATTGTATTTAGAGTGCCAGTGTAAGTGAGTGCAGCAGTGAAAGAGGCGGTCAGACCTTGCGGTACATGACCCTCCTCTCCCGCTGGTACTCCACCTCCCCCCGTGCCACCATGATGAGCAGCGCTCGCCGCACCTGATGCATGCAGCATGCGACGATACATGCCTCGCCCCATTCCACATGCCAAACGCCATTCGCCACATGATGAGCAGCGCTTGCCGGACCTGATGCATGCAGCATGGGACGATGCATGCCATGCCCCATTCCACATGCCATGCCAAACGCCATACGACACATGCCACACGCCATGCAACATGCACATGCCACATTTGAGGTTATACATGTGCTGAAGTATTGGGATGAGCGTTGCACACAGCACCTGCCAGGCAGACACCGAATGGGCAGCAATCCGGGGATCACACAGCCAGTAGAATCACACGCAGCCTCCTGATGCAGCAACAAGGCGGCCATGTTGCAAGGCGAATCAGGCAATGAGGCAACGAGGCGATGAGGCAATGAGGCAAAATGAGGCAATGAGGCAAAATGAGGCAATGAGGCAATGAGGGCTCACCAGCATGCGCCCATGATCCAAGCCCCACCGCGCGCTCACTCATGCCCAAGCGACTCATCTCCTCCAACACCTATCTCTCTCGTACGAGCGCCCCAGTGGCCGCGCTTTCTGAGGGTTCCTCCAAACACAATCATAGGCTCGCCCGCATTCTCACTGATGGGCAAGCGCGTGATGTGATGTGATCCAACAGCCTGCACTTTACCTATGCTCCCACTCACACTCTCTCCTCCCCACCACCCAGAACTCACACTCCCACTCAACCGGCCAGTGCCTCACCGTGCTCTCACTGATGCCCCACCGTGTGATATCATCCAGCAGCCGCCTCTCCGATCCGACACGATCCCCCCCATGGCCACGCGGCGCCGCACAGCGCCCTGCACCTGCTGCACCTCCACCTGCTGCACCTCGCGCCGCTGCTCCCCCGTCACCACTGCTCCGTCCACCACACCCGACCGGGCGGCGTCCAGCGTCGCGACGTGGAAGAGACGAAGCGCCTCGGTGACGTGCTCTTCTGTGGCTAGTGGTGAGCTGTGGGGGGAGGAGGGGTGGGGGGAAGAATCAGAGGAAGGGGAAAAGTGGGGCCAGGTAACTGGGAGAGTGGGAGAGGCGGGAGGAAATGACAGAGAGGAAAAGTGGGGAGAAAATAGGGGGATGATCAGATTCAGTCAGAACGGCTACTACATCCACCACACAACTGCATGCGATGTCATTGCCACATACAGCTGCATGCCACATCACTCACAGCTGCATGCAACGTCGCTCACAGCTGCATGCCACGTCACTCACAGCTGCATGCCACGTCACTCACAGCTGCATGCCACGTCGCTCACGGCTGCATGCGCGCCATGGACTCTGAGAGCCTCACGATGGCCTCCAGCTGGCGAACCGTGATTGGCAGCGCTGATGCCTCCCCCGTCTCTGTTGCTCTCGGCCGCATGTTCTGACAGGCAAGGGGGTGTTGAGGGAGGATGATGCCACGTCATGTGATGCAGCACGATGAGATGGGATGCTGAATGGTGCGGTGCAGTGCGGTGCGACGTGGTGTGTGCTGTGGTGCGTTTCAACGTGTCGTCCTGAAACAAGGACTGTCATGGCACAACAGCAAGCAGCTCAAATGGCGGATGCGCAAATAGATGTTTTATAGCATTGTTGTGCTGTGCTGTGCTGTAATGCGATGCAACATGTCCCACTGCAACACAACGGCAAGCAGTGCACCTGTCGGATCTGCGCGTGGTTGTTCTGCAGCAGCGCTGCTGCCGATTCTGGCAGCCGCGGTGAGCAGCACGTGCAAGCAAACTCAATGTACCTAATGGGGAGGGGGGGGGGGGGGGGGGGCGGTGGGGGTGGGGTGGGGTTAGAGAGGGAACCGACGGGGAATGAGGAGCTATGCCACACCCTCTTGAGGCGAGCAGACTCTGTCTGTGCACCCGGCGTAGTGACCAGAAAAAGCCCATACGAACTTTCACAACAATGGGAACACGAGCATACCCGTTCATCCCTCTCAGGACCGCTTTCCCCTGCAGCGCCCTTTGCCCATCCTACGCCCATCCCCCACTCCTCACCTCTCGAGCCAGTTCTCCTGCTCCCCATCCTTCCCCGTGTGCCCCACGCCCCCGCCCCCGCAGGCCCATCCCCCATGCCGCCCCGTCCCCCCATGCCATCCCCGCCCTGCCTCACCACTGCATCCGCCTTCGCATGCACGTTCACCCCGTGCCGTGCGATCTTTGAGGCGCCTCAAAAGACCACAACATCCGCCTTCGCATGCACGTTCACCTTTTGCCGTGCGATCTGCGGCAGGGGAGAAGCGGCAGAGACAAGGGGTAGCACAGGGAGAGGCCTGAGATCAAGTAGGCCCGTTCACCACGTGCCGCGCGATATTCTGTGGACAAAAAGAGGCAGAATGGGGATTGGAACAGGTTGTAGTTGAAGTCGCACGTGCCCCTGATAACACAGATGAGGTCGAAGCCTCGGTCGTGTTGACTGGGCGAGCAGCATTTCGACACATGCGTTAGTGAAATAATAAAATACTAGGCTGACGGAGGTAGATGGGCAGACGCAACGCACGAGGTCGTGGTTGAAGTCGCGCGTGTCCTTGATATAAGGGAGTTTTCGTTTTGAGACGTCGCACAAACTCCCTTTTTCATCACGCGGTCGAAGTTGTGCAGATCCTTGACGGCAAAGATGAGGTCGAGGCGCGGCAGAATGGTGCACGCAGGTCCATGTTCTCTTGAGCTCTGCAGGTCCATGTTCTCTTGTGCTGTCTGTGAGGTGGATAAGAAGGGACGGCGGAGAGGAGGGAGACGGGGATGAGATGTACGCATCGATCATTCCGAGGCATAATATGACAAGATCTGGCAGCACATGGCAGCACGATCCCTCCCCACCACCTCCCCCTCTTCCCCCTTCTCTCACCTTGAGGTCGTCGTATCGTATCGCCCCGAGGGCAGGCTGGGGATGGTGGGTGGTGATGCCCGCCTTGGCGATGCTGATGGCCTGCTGCTGCATCGCCTCGTGGATCGCCACTCCTGTGGGACGCATGGCGCACAGGCAGAGGCGAAGCACACAGTGAGACTCATGGCCTGCTGCTGCATCGCCTCGTGGATCGCCACCCTGTGCCTGTGGGGCGCATGGCGCAGAGGTAGAGGCAAAGCACACAGTGAGACTCGACTCATGCCCTGCTGTCTATTGCTTCACGGAACACAACCCTGTGAAGCACAAGGGGGGAAACACATGGGGTGAGGTGAAACATGCAAGTGACTCTGGCCTGGCCTAGTTTATACCTCCATCCCACCCCATCCACCCTTTCCACCTCTCCTCACGGCACATTTTGTTTGTCCGTACCATCTCATGCCATGAGACGGGATGAGAAGGGAGAGCGTGAGGAGATGAGAAGGGAGAGCGTGAGGAGATGAGAAGGGAGAGCATGAGGAGATGAGAAGGGAGAGCATGAGGAGATGAGAAGGGAGACCATGAGGAGACGAGAAGGAGAGCATGAGGAGATGAGAAGGGAGAGCATGAGGAGATGAGAAGGGAGAGCATGAGGAGATGAGAAGGGAGAGCATGAGGAGATGAGAAGGGAGAGCATGAGGAGACGAGAAGGAGAGCATGAGGAGATGAGAAGGGAGAGCATGAGGAGATGAGAAGGGAGAGCATGAGGAGACGAGAAGGAGAGCATGAGGAGATGAGAAGGGAGAGCATGAGGAGATGAGAAGGAGAGCATGAGGAGATGAGAAGGGAGAGCATGAGGAGACGAGAAGGAGAGCATGAGGAGACGAGAAGGAGAGCATGAGGAGATGAGAAGGGAGAGCATGAGGAGATGAGAAGGGAGAGCATGAGGAGACGAGAAGGAGAGCATGAGGAGATGAGAAGGAGAGCATGAGGAGATGAGAAGGGAGGGAGAGCGTGAGGAGATGAGACGAGAGAGCATGAAGATGAGAAGGAGCAAGAGAGGAAATGAGTTAGGGAGCACGTGAGGGGATGAGACGGGAGAAAGAGAGGAGATGAGAAGGAAGCACGGGGGAAGCTGAGAGAGGAGAGCGTGGGGAGACGAGATGGGAGAACAGGGGAGATGAGAAGGAAGAACGGGAGGAAGGTAGGGAGAACTGGAGGAAATGAGGAAGGGAGGTAGGTTGGCAGGGCGGATGGTGGCGAGGAGTCAGGGAGGGATGGAGGGAGGGAGGGAGGGAATGAGGAAGGAGGACGGTTGGAACAGAGACATGTGAGGTAGCGCGGATGGGGGAAACGAAGGAATGGTGCGACGGGATGGGGATGCGTGGGCGAGCGTGTGCGACGGAGGGGAGTGAGCGTGGGCGACGGAAGGGGAGTGAGCGTGCTCGTTCGAGCGGAGTGCGCGTGGGCGACGGAAGGGATTGAGCATGGGCGACGGAGGGGAGTGATCGTGGGCGACGGGAAGGCAGTGAGCGTGGGCGACGGAGGGGAGTGAGCGTGTGCGACGAGAGGGGAGTGCGCGAAGGCGACGGGAGGGGAGGGAGCGTGCTCGTTCGAGGGCAGAGATCGTGGGCGATGGAAGGGAGTGAGCGTGGGCTTTGGACGGGACTGCGCGTATGCGACGGGTTGCAAGCGATGGCGACGAATCCTTTTTAAAAAAGGGGAAAAAACGAAAAGCGAAATGCGATGGGATGGACAGAGAGGACGGCGGGCTAGGAATAGAAGCAATTTCTATGCGGTGGGCGATGGGGAAGTGAAACCAGGGCGACGATGGGCATAAGCGCTAGAATGGGCATGGCCCGCGACGTGGAGTGGAAACGAGAACTCAGGCTAGCGGAAAGCTAGGGCGACGGATCGGACGGAACGGATTAATAGAGGGAGAAAGGGATGGTGGAAGAGGGGAAGGCGAAAGGGCGAGGATAGGCGGAGTAATGGAGGTGGAGTCTTAGCTTTTCTTAGCTATAACTGTCACTGGCTAGGAACTATGTGTGGCTGAACAACCTGGATACGCATTTGTGCTGGTGGACCTGCTGACAGATGTTGGCGAAAAAAAAGGGCTGGACGAAAAGTGCGAAACCAATCTCAGCGTGCGAAAGACAAATACAACGGCGCGCTGCCGAAAAAGGGGGGCGGGGGTAAGGAAGAGCAGGGGAAAAAACCTGCCAACCCAGTGCCGCAACACGCACTTGAAACATTCCCCTCCATTTTCCCCCCACGCCACTTCCGTGTATCATTTCCCCCCAGCTCCCCCTTTACGCCAAACAGGGTTACACTCGGTTCAAAATATTATTTTGTGAACCCACGAGGGACAAATATGGACCGTCGTCTACAAAAACATATCAGCTTCGGAATCAAGTTTTTTATCGCCGCAGCCAACAAGGAATACAGAGTTGCCGAGGACAAGAGAGTTGCCAACAAGTACAGAGTTGCCAGCGATACAGCGTTGCCAACGAGGAGTACGGAGTTGCCAACGAGGAGTTCAGGAATTTCCAGTCCGGTCAAAGCAGTTTCACCACCTCAGCAGGGAATACGGGTTTCTTCTCGCTCCCTCTCCTGCGCTCAGAAACTGCTGATGGTGCTTTCTTCTCCAATTCAGCAAGAAGCAATTTCAAGAAGAACGCGGGCGGACGCCATCTGGCGATGATGATGCTTTGACCTAAGCAGAATTCTTGAATCCCTGTTTTTCTAGTTTCCCCGAAACTTTTTGCTGAAGCAGCGACGCCACACCCGGCGAGCTCGGCCGAGTGGGTTGGCCTCATGCCTCGAAGTGCCAAACGGGTGGAGGTCCAAAGTGGCTGGAGCTCCCAGGATCTTTCGTGATGATAGCTTGATGGGCCGAGCCGCTGGTGCTTACACGATGTTTCTTGGTGGCGGCTCGGTGCCATTGGTGCTCCGAAAGACGCAATGGATGAGGCCAATTGGTACTGGAATGCTGTACTGTCCCCGACGGCTCCAGTCGCGTTGCTGCATATTTAAACGAAAGACGCTCGGATTGTTAGCCATTCGCAGCCAAGATTCGAGTATTCCAGATTCCAGTCACTTCCTTATCCACCTTCTACTCGCCTACTTTAGGGTTCTGCAGCTCACATCCGTAACATTCCTTTCGACTAAGAGGAAACTGACATTACCATGGCATTCGGAAAGTTTTTCGTTGCTTCCCTCCTCTTCCTGCTCGCCGCTCTCCTCACCATCTCCAGCTTCCCTTCTGCTCAAGGTACGGCCAACTTTCCCAATTACCCAGAAAGTTCAAAGAATTAACAGATCAGCGATGGTGTACCTTTATAAACCCGTAATGAAAAATAAGTTTACCTATTTCCCCTGCAGGTGCACGAGCTCCATTCGCGAGCGTTGCATCCCCCGCTATAGTCAGGAGGCGGGTGCTTTACAGCTCCACTACATGCTCTGACAAGTACAATACAAAGCTGCAGCGGTGCCAGGACAAGGAAACCGACTGCATTGGTCGCGCGTGGGACTGGCGGCAGGAGCAGAAATGCACGGAGAAGCGCGGCGATTGCGAGTGGGACGCGAATGATGCGTTCAATGATTGCCAGCAGGAGTGCACCGAGAAGTGTGATGAGAAGCTGGATGAGTGCTATGAGGACAATCATCACAACAGCCGCAAGTGCGACAGGAAGGATCAGAAGTGCCGCGAGAAGTGCGACTGAGCTGAAGCAGGGCGGGGAGTGGGCAGCAGCTGGGGGGAAATGAGGTAGAGTTTGTTCACAGTGTGCCTTCTTTTTGGGGTATGATGTGATGGTTGTTTAGTACGGTAGTATGTTGTGGTTTTTGGGTTGGGTGGGTTGGTTTGTGTGTGTTGTGTGTCTGTTATTGCCTGATGATGGTAGTATATACGTTACGTTACCTATCTATCATGTTTCAGCACAACCACATCGGAGCAGGGCAACGCTGTTACGGTACCGTATGCATGCAAGGCAGAGCATGCCTTTCTAGCAACACACACTGTTTGAGTACGTTATTCAGAACTACGGCAATGTATGCAGGAGGATGGGTTGGGTTGGGCATGGATACGGCCCAAGGAGCACCAGACCCAATTTGGTCAGCATTGACAAAATTGCTGTTCACATGCCATGCTTGCAACTCACCACCAGCATACGGTACAACTGGAAAACCTCTGGAGGCACGGGAACATGTCACTGATCTGAGGAATTTGCCCCAGAATTTGCCTCAACTCTGGCACGTACCTGTGTGAGTGAGGGCTACAGCCTCTCAGAGATGGCAGTGGTGAGGTCTGCAGGAGTTGGTGAGAGGAGAGGAGTGCCTTCCTGCCAACCTGCATTACCAGGGCAGGTGCATGAAGCAAGCACTGGTGATTTGATGCTTTTACGTGCCGTCACACCACTCTTGCCCCAACTTTCATCGTTTGCTCCCTACTCACTCCTCTACTCCCCATCCATCTCCCCTTCCCTCCCTTATTTCTCAAACCATAGGAACTTGCAGGGTGGAAGACACGGGTCATTTTGAGAATCTCTTGAGTATTTGAATTGCGAAAATTTGACAAAGAAGTCGATGGTGTCCTTGAGCCTGGCGAGACGATGAACATGTCTATCTCCTCCTTTGTGTTGTACACGTACGCGCTCGCCCGTGCACTCGCATTGATGCCTAGCTGCTGGTGAATGGGCTGCGCACAGTGGTGCCCACTGCGGATGCCCACGCCGTGCAGGATGGGTGGATTTTGTAGAAAAGGCAACGGAGAGGGGAAACGGGAAGAGGAGGGTGAGGGAGGCATGAGGAAGCATGAATGGGCCAGGGAAAGGGTGGTGAGGGGAGGGGTGGCGAGGGGAGGACGGAAGTGGCCAGCTAGAGGGACGAGGATGAGGGAGCATTGTCCCCACATGCACATGGCCTTGTCCCCATACACCCTACGCCAGCAGCCATATCACTTGCTGTTGTCTGCACACTCACTCAGTCGCCTAGCCACCACCCATCTCGCTTAGACTCCTCCCCACATTCACTTACCCCCCTACCATCCATCTCACTCTCACTTGGCTTTATCAGACGCCTAGAAGATGTTGCAGATGCTGGCCATGGTGATGCATGTGCTGGGGAAATGCGCTGCACCAGCCAGCAGTCCACCGCTAGTAGCACACTGTGCAGCATCTCACCCATTGGCGCGTCCTGGGAGTGGTGAGTGTGGGGGTTATGGGGGCATGCGACAAGGCACATGGTATGCACCGGGCAGTGCACACATAATGCTGCACCAATGAGCGGTGCACCGCCAGCAGCACACCGCGTGACATCTCACCCGTTGGCACATCCTGCAGGGCACATGGGGTGTGGTGTGGTGCACAGGGCAGTGGGCAATGGGCAGCGCACACATCATGCTGCACTAATGAGTGGTCCACCACCAGCAGCACACCGCATGACATCTCACCCGTTGGCACGTCCTGCAGGGCGCATGGGGTGTGGTGTAGGGCATGGGGCAAGGCACATGGTACACAGTGCCTGATGCATGCAGCATAATTCATGGTGTGCAAGCAGTGAACACATCATGCGCTGCACCAACAGCACACTGTCGCGCCATCCCACCTGTTGGCACATCCTAGGGAACATGGGGCAATGGGCACGGGGCAATGTGTAAAAGGCAACGGGCATGGGGCAATGGGCACGGGGCAATGTGTAAAAGGCAACGGGCATGGGGCAATGGGCACGGGGCAATGTGTAAAAGGCAACGGGCATGGGGCAATGGGCACGGGGCAATGTGTAAAAGGCAACGGGCATGGGGCAATGGGCACGGGGCAATGTGTAAAAGGCAACGGGCATGGGGCAATGGGCACGGGGCAATGTGTAAAAGGCAACGGGCATGGGGCAATGGGCACGGGGCAATGTGTAAAAGGCAACGGGCATGGGGCAATGGGCACGGGGCAATGTGTAAAAGGCAATGGGCATGGGGCAATGGGCACGGGGCAATGTGTAAAAGGCAACGGGCATGGGGCAATGGGCACGGGGCAATGGGCATGGGCCAATGGGCACGGGTCAATGTGTAAAAGGCAACGGGCATGGGGCAATGGGCATGGGGCAATGTGTAAAAGGCAACGGGCATGGGGGAATGGGCACGGGGCAATGTGTAAAAGGCAACGGGCATGGGGCAACGGGCATGGGGCAACGGGCGCGGGGCAACGGGCACGGGGCAATGGGCATGGGGCAATGGGCATGGGGCAATAAGCATGGGGCAACGGGCACGGGGCAATGGGCACGGGCCAATGGGCACGGGGAAATGGGCATGGGCCAATGGGCATGGGGCAACATGCATGGGGCAATGGGCATGGGGCAATGGGCATGGGGCATGGGGCAATGGGCCATGGGGCATGTGGGGGCAAGCTTCATGGAGTGAAGGTACTGCAAGCATCATGCTGCACCAATGAGCGGTCCACTGCCAGCAGCACACCGCGCGGCATCTCACCCGCTGGC